ACACACCAATCCAGAGCTTCTTTCTTACACTGAACTGAGTTAATACTGTTGACGCCATTAAAGATGAAGAGAGAGGACCTAGAAAAAGAGGGTAGAGGCTACAATTTCAGGTATTTGGATCAAACCTTAGAAGTGTTGCAAGCTCCTTCTGTTAAATAAACTATTGATAGGAAGCATCCTGCTTTCTTTCCCTTGCTCCTTCCTTTCTGCCGGAATTACTCAGACAGAACTTATCATGGCTACCACTGATACACTTCAGCTCCAGGGCTTGATCTGTATGCTTCAACTCAGTAAGAACACTTAAAGCCAGGCATACACTGTACAATATTTTCAATTGTTGCATGCAGCTACAGCTCAAACTGTACCACGAAACCGCAGGGTTTAAAAGTTCACAGTTCACGATGTATGTTCTCACTCTGTGCAACCTGACGCTCTGATGCAATCTCACAATGTACGTCTAAAAACAAAGTTGGACTGAGCTCCGTGGTGAGATGACGCTATTTGGATTCGTCTATCCGGAAGCCAGACGAGTACAAGAGGAATATGAAGCTAACTAGAGAGAAATGCGCTGCCTTGGCAATTCATGCAATGTTATGTAGTGAAAGCCCTAAACAGAAAACGGATTTTGACAAAGACATGGCTGAGCAAACGTGCCAACTACGGTCTGTCAATTTTACCGAAAGAACTCCATTTCATGCTTCTGTGTTCTCTACTGAGAGGAAGAAGAATCCTTGTTTGTGCATGCCCACTGAGTGATTTGCCTGCCCAATCAAACAATTCTCACACATCTGGAAAATCAGCACAAAAACGGTCATAAAATCTTACAGTGTGTGCCTGGCTTAAGCCATGCCAGAAGTGGGTGACCATAATAGGTGCTATCCGAATAGTACCGGCATTAAGGACGAAGCTAAGACCAGGAAGCAGTATGCTTCCTAGTGCCAATCCAGTTACCATAGGGACCACTGTTATATGGTTGTCCACAATCATTTGGGCGACACACTGCACAACCTGCCTAATGTAATTTCACTGAAACACATTATTTTGTGACATGTACATCTTCAAATGTTTATAATGGAGATCTTCCATCATTAAGTTAGAATTGTACAACTTTTGCTTATTATAGTTCTTTTTCCGGAAGGCTGAAGTCCCAATTTGGCCAGCTTCATAAATGTGTGTGTCTGTTGCGCTATGACAGCCATAAGACTGTCTTGATTCAACACAGCAGTGGAGCTCCTTTCCTACCCTGGATAGTTTTACTCTTCACTGGACTAAAGGTGAAAGGATAGGAGCTAGGAAGGGAAGCTTGGAGCTACAAGTTTAGATATCTGGATCGAGCCTAGGTGTATAATGAGAGATGGTTGACACACACAAAAACAGGGGAATCTAGTTACCAGAATGAGAACGAAATACTACAAAGGAAAATAATTGCAAAAAGGCAATGGAAAAAGTAACATAGTTATGAACCCATAAATAAACATCTAAAATGCATAATGAACAAAGTCTTTCCAGAATGAGATGGAGAATCTCTCAAGTGACGGTTTTAGAATAGTGTTTTTTTTTTTCTCAACCAAATAATGTCCTTGTTGCTAAGCTAAAATTATTGAATGTATGAATCATCCTTAACAGCCAGTCGCCAGTACTGCCATGGTGGTGCTTATTCTTTGGATTCTGAGTCAGGCTGTCCTCCTTGCTACGGCATGCAAATACTATACTCCTCTGGTTCAACTTTCACGGAAGCATTTATTTTCAGCTGATTAGGGATGCTAATACAGTCCCAACTAACATAGGTTTGAAATAATAATGTTTAACTGAGAAAACAAGGACAAACCTGTTTGTCCCTTATATGATTGTAGACACTGTGTATATGTATATATATATATGTAAATATGTGGGTGTGGTTTTTCAGTGGTAGTTCTTCTAAACAGCTAAGATTGATTTATTCGCTTCCATTAGCTAGGCTATAAACATCTGCAATATTGCATCTGTCTGTTGATGGAGCAGTCTGGCTGCTTACCTCAAAGATCTCTCTCAGGCGTGGGTTGTTTGTTTTTATAAACAAGTTTAAAGTGAAGGGGTAGGGTGGGGGGTGCATATAGTTTCATCAGATAAATGAGCAGTTTTATCTTGTTGTAGATTTCACAATTAGTCTGTGAGATATGGGCTGAGATTTATCCAAAACGTGTCTTTTTTCCCTGTAGGGCACCTTGCTTAATCCTGATGAAATGACTCATGGTTGGTTTTAGTTTCCATGAAAAGAAAGGGGTCTTGTTAAGTTTAGGTTTCATAGAAAATGTTACTCCTCTCATCTGACGTGATCATCTGATTTAGTGGTATTCCACAGAGTAGAGATCTAACACCTGTTTGAAAAAGATCTAAGAGCTGAGAGAAAATCTACAGTCATTTTCTATAACAGTACACACCTTTTTAACATGAATGTGAAACATAGAGCTGCTGTGCATTTTAATTAAACCCAGGCAGGAACACACAAATTGGAGCAAAGGACTCAACAACTCAGTTTTACAACTGCCTCCTGACTGTCAGGATGACGCCATGGTCAGTAGCCATTAAAGGAGCACGCAGTGGGGAGTGGTGGACGATAAGAAAGCAGCCACACCTCAGATATCAAAGGGCTTTAAAGTTCATATTCCCTTTGTGTCACTATTTTGTTTCAAACTTTGGTTGGATCAAATGATAGATCATCCATGATTAGTGATTCCACCTGTTAAGGAATATAGGCAAGTGAAGGGAAAGGATTAAATAAGAGTCAATTCTTCATACCCCTTTGTAGGTATAGGGACTAAATTATACATACAACATAATAATTACATATATTATTTATTTTACATGATGTTTGCATGTGTTAAATCTGTATTTTTAACTTAATTGTCAATAATAAAGTAATTTATTCATTAATTTAACCCCACAGTAAATTGTCTCACCTTAGGTCATTACAAAAATGATTGGTCCAGACTTACTTGATTTTCTTTCCTTAAAATAATAAATATTTTCAAATGTAAAATAAACTTAAAAACAATTTTTATGGATTCATTTTCACAGTGAAATAAGTAAAGATAATCATAAAGGCTGTAAACTCCCTTTGAACCACACTGCGGTATCTCAAATATGTGAGCATTCTCTGTGTCGACAGAATAATTATCTTTTATCAGATTTAAATTACTTTACAAGCAATCTTTTTCATAACACCGTACTGTGGGCGTTTATGCTGAATCTTTGTAGTTGGTAATTTCTACCAATTTAGTTTGGTTCTTTGGGTAGTTAGAATATATTTAAGTTAATTTGGGACAAAAATGTATAATTATTTTTTTATATTTCGAATTTGTTAGACCCTCCCAATATTTTGAGTAATGAAGAACATACTGGGTACTGGGTGGAGGTCGATTGTTTAAATAAATGTCTGGCGTAGACGGGAGGTTTTGTAAAATAACCACTTTTTAGAGCTTCAAACATTAAATTAACATTAGTAATTATTTTGTCTATGCTTTTACAAAACATAAGTCAAGCTGGAAGTGCGTAAAAATCCAAAAACCACCTGTTACCATTTTGGTCTTTTTAGAACAGAAGGCCACCACACGTACTATAAAAGGAATAAAAATTTGCTTAGTTAAACTGAAACATTACAGAAAAAAATAGATTAAATGCAAAAATAAATAAAATAAATCGCTATTCAAAATTATATTTCATAAAATTTTTATGTTATTAGTCAGTATTTAGTTAAAGGCCAAACATTAAACAGTTACCCACTTAACAACTTTCAGTTAATTTTATTAAAAAGTGAATTTTATTTCAGATGGAGTAATCCAAATGTGCTTTAATTGTCAAATCCATTAATATAACAAGGGATTTGACTTTAATTCCACTTTACTCTCAGTTTAGTCAATATTATTGGTGGATATCACAGCATAATGTATGTATTTTTTTTTATTTATTTTTTTTTACAAACGATGAAAAACATTCAAATTAATTGTCCAACTAACTTACAATTAGGTGCCACTGAAAAGGTTACAATACACTCTGCTTTCCATTAAGGGGCTGATTAACAAACTTATTTGAAGTGAAATCATAGAATCAGGTTTGTTGAAGAAGGGAACAACCTGAAGGACATCAGATCAACCTGGTTTGGAAGAAAATGTCATACTATGTTTTCTATTTTATTTTCAGCTGATAGTATTTTGTTATCACTAAGTTAACCTCTTCTTTTTTTTCATTATACTTTTTTATGTCTTAACAGCAAATGTTCCGAATCCAAGGCTGGACACTTCATGCAGAGAGACGCCTGGCCAGAACTTTCTTGCTGCAAGGCAGCCAGACCTTATGCAAATTTTGACAGATTTTAAGTTTATTGTCATTGATGCAAAACAGCTTAAATTTCGAAAGTTGCTAAAAAAAAAAAACTGGTGACTATCAAAAAAAATCAAATGATAACTCTTGATCTTTCTCAAAATGTTTGTTTCCATTGTTATTAACATTTAAAAACAACAAAAGCTCTTGTTTTATAATAAATAGCTTCAGTTTAACTATTAACCATAAAGAAAAATAATGATTTTCATAATTTCAGAAGAAAAATTACAAAAAAGGAGCATATTTTATTTTAAATAAATGAATACATTTTTGAAAGATTTCAATTTTGGAGTTATCCAAAACATGCTGTTACAGCCAAAAAGGATTGTATGGTTACCCTTTAATCACTGCGATTCTCTTTAACTTTTATACATGAGTCCTAGTAGATTAATGTGTGTGCACATCTGGTGATTGCTGCAGAATGGGCAAATATTTGGACTAACCCCACAGTGGGATGTGGATTACAGATGAACAATGTCGGCTGCGTAATTAGGTCCACTTCCTCCCCCACCTGCCTGCGCCACAGCTTCCGCCCATGCACACTCAGCCTTGGATCGCTCCTCTGGCAGCTGCATTCCCAAACAGCAGCTGACGTAAGGAGGGAGGGGCTGAGAGTATAAAAACCAACCAGCCTCTCTCATTCACAGCCACATTTTGGATTACCACAGCCGCTGCGGAGAAGCTCACTATTCGCTGTCCTCGGACCAAAAAGCAGAGCGGGACTGCGATCAGCAACCTGTCCACAAAAAAAAGCTATGAAAATGTCAGTGGGGGAGATCATCAGGGAGGGAGAGCTGGAGAAGAGGAGCGACAATCTCCTCCAGTTCTGGAAGAAGAAGACGTGCGTCCTGACCAAGGACAGCCTCAACATTTACGCGGCCACAGACACGCAGAAACGCTCCAAGAGCAAAGAGATCAAGTTCCAGTCCATCAAAAAGGTGGACTGCGTGGAGCGCACCGGCAAATTCATCTATTTCACCATCGTTACAAATGATGACAAAGAGATCGACTTCCGGTGCTCCGTGGATCAAACCTGCTGGAACGCAGTGATCACCATGGCTCTGATTGATTACCAGAACAGAAAGGCGCTCCTGGACTTTAAGACGCGGCAGGACAATGACGGCGCATCGCCCGGACAGGAGAGGCGCATGGCCCGCGCGCCCTGAGCCGCTCCAGGGCGCAGGCTCAAAACCATCCTAATATGGTGAGAGATTTGTCTTACCCTGCATATAAATATCAATACATCTAGAAAACTAATTATAAGTGAAAATTATAACACGTTCTTTCTTACATCTTCTAGAGTCTACAGGGACTTTTGAGGAAAAAATGGAAAGTGGACCAAAAAGGAAGACTAGGTCATCCGGTCCAGAGATGAAGGACTGTCCGGGACTGAGCTCCCTCAAGACAAATGATCCAAACCAAAGCTCAACAAGTGGACTGAACTTTTGAAATGTCAGAACTATTTCACGTTTACGCTACAGAGAGAACTGGCGTTTAAAATCCTGCTAATTTATTTTTGTCCTGATGTATGGTGTTGCTGTTAAACTACTTGTGTTGTCTAAATTATTTTCTGTTTAAATGTATTTATTTGAATAAATGTCCATTTTCTTTTTAATATAACTTTTTCCTTTTGCTGTTTTACTTTGGAAAAGTTTTTTTTTTTTTTTTTTTTTGAGGTTGTCAACATCCCTTTAGGCCTGCATGATTCAGGGGGGAGGTAAAAAAGTATAACCGACACTGATAAAATGTTNTTTTGAGGTTGTCAACATCCCTTTAGGCCTGCATGATTCAGGGGGGAGGTAAAAAAGTATAACCGACACTGATAAAATGTTCAGCAGTATTCCTTTTGCTGTTTTACTTTGGAAAAGTTTTTTTTTTTTTTTTTTGAGGTTGTCAACATCCCTTTAGGCCTGCATGATTCAGGGGGGAGGTAAAAAAGTATAACCGACACTGATAAAATGTTCAGCAGTATTCCTTCAACGCCACATGTGACCATGAAATGGGAGTAGAGGACAGGGAAGTCCCTCTTCCTCTCTGGCGTCAAGTGGAATGTGACTCTTGTCACTGGGAGGGTTTGGGGACTGAGTCATAACTACCAGGTACATTCATCAACGGACACTTTAGACTATAGTGGTGTATCCGAACACACCTGCTTTCAAGGTGTGGTGGCTTTTATGGTTCATGTACTGGTGCAATCTGATAATGGAAGCAAGGAGTGGATGTATTTGAAGAAAATTAAAAGTATTAAACCGACATGGTTGCATTGGTTTTTCTTGGTTGGGTGTTTGACACTTCAAATGTTCTTAATAGTTTAAATTTCAAAAGGTGGCAAAAGATCATGTTTTTATAGCAGTTTAATTCTGGGGGATATTAAACTATAGAATAAAGTGTTTTACAATATAAATGGTAACTCTAAATATCTAAATTGTGTTAAGTATAGCATAATATTTGTTAATCTACACTAGAATTTAACCAAGAAAATTGTCTCACTATTAGAATCTGCCTAATTTTGGCAGATTTAAGTATTTAATATGAATTATATAAATCATAGCCTAGAGAAATCCTTCCCTTTTTTTATGCCTATTTTATTTCTGAATGTTCCAGTCAGGTTTGTCTGCTCTCTATATATCTGAACGGTTGGTGAGAGGTGAGGTGGAGTCTGGACAGGTTCAACTTGAAAAGTAGGCTTCAAAGGGATTGTTAAATATAAATTACTGATATTTTAATTCAAAAATTGGTTCTATGTTTACATTAGTATGAGTAAATTAAGAATTTTTTGTATATTAAATATGAGTATATTAAATGTTATTCTGTATATTACAAAGAAAAGTATTTAAAAATCTTAATCCAGAAATATCTTTCACGATCAATTAATTATTTGATGCACAGAGGCCATCTCTGTGGGATCCCTCTTGATAACAACACATTATTGGCTTTTAATTTGATTAAAAATTTGATAGTGTTTGAGTTCAAGACTGAAACAGTACATAACTTTTAAGAATCTCTTTTAATAAGTTGGGATGTAAAGTATTTTCCTGTCAAGATCAGCTAAGAAGTGCTGCTTGTCAGTGGCTGCCTCATGGCTATCAGCTCTGTTACTGTGAACAGATTATATATATAGAGCTTTTCCACTAAATTACTTAAAAATTGAAAAAGTACGTTTGATTTTTTTTCTCCTTTCTCTTCTCCCTCAAAGATCATGTTCCTGTCCAACCAACCAAGCAAGATCCTTTAATTCTGGTACGTTGGTTTCTTTTAGTCAACTCTTTAATTGGTTGTTGGTTGTATTTAGTTATGTTGTCCAGATTCTTGTTTTGTTATGTCTCTAAACTCATTAGATATATATTTTTTCTTCTGCATTTGTGTTATACATTCTGGTTTGAATAATTGAACCGTAACTTGGGAAATGTGAATGAATATATATATATATATATATATATATATATATATATAT